ATCCAGGCTGAACTATACTGCAGTTTTGATCTCGCCTATGGCGCATCAGCAACCCCAGAGGGACCCGAACCGTGATAGCACAATGTATAATCTAGTCATATTAACCATTACACCACAGTGCCACGAGTGCCTTGGAGACACAGGAAAGATGCGAATTTTAAGGAACGCCAGACATTTTCTCATATCCAATTCTGGATGGATAGATCTCATTTAATCTCGCTTAATGTGCTGATGAGACGATGATACGAGGACAAAATTGAGGTCCATCTTGAAGGAGATAGGCTTTTGGGAGGTAATAGCATCCTGAGGCCTACACATGTATCATTCCATAAATCACCCTATACAACTAAGCTCTTGCAAATCGAATTGTATCTCCCGTTCGTGACAGTAATTGAAGATACATACTTTCTTGCGCAACAACTCCGTGACCTGCGCAAATTTTTAAATGATGATGCATACGACTTTTAAGCCTAGACATAAGATAATAAAATGCCGTTTAAGCATGATTCTGGACAGCCTGACGAGTTCCTCGGATCATATCGAGCCGCACCCCTTAATCAAGCTGTCGGCCAAATGAGTGTATCGATCGAAAGCAAGGCCAGCTTTCTCCCTTATCCTCCGTTCTTCAACAGGCCTGTTTGCGTATCGATCGGTCGAATACAGGCCGTCCATTGAGGCCGCACATTCAAATCACCTTCTGATTACGTCCCAAGCGGAAGCTATTCTATCAGCAATACTTCTATCTATCTATCTGCATGCCCATTTTGCATTTACTTCTGGTAGAATGGCGTGATTTACTTCTGACAAATGGCATTTTTGATGAATCCAAGATTAAAAGGGCGTTGGCTTAGGCACAATCAACTCGGCGCCCAGCCCTGACATGACGAACCTTTCCAAGCTTCACCCGCAAGTGGCTCCACGCAGCCTCAGCAGCCCCCTTGTCCCGCATCCTCTTCACTTAATCTCCCACCTAACACACCGAGGTATAAACGACGAACAAGAGGGTAGGAAGAAAAGTTGAGTTTCGAGGAGTCTTGGTTTGCTAATGTTAAGCTCATTTACGGTTCGTGAATCAATTTGAAAAATGTTATTCTGTATCTATGATGTCCATAATTCGCCATAGGATGGCTGAGCACGTGTTCACCGGAGTGGGAAGTGATTGTCTTGGAAGCAACATCAACCAGAATGTTCCAGTAAATGCTAAGCTTACTTCCATTTCGAGTGAAAGTATTTTGATGAAGAGATTCGAAGGTCGATTGCACCAAAAGACGACGGCGGATTCCTCTTGGCTTTACTGCAACATTCATGTTGACGCTGCTCCCGAGGTAATCTTTTTCGATTCCCGTGAAAACGTGCTGAGATTTCGTCCGTCATATGACAAACATTATCAGATCAAGGTATCATCGTTCCAGTAAAGCCAATCGACAGCTGGTCAAGAGGAATCCGCCGTCGTCTTCTCGTGGAATCGACCTTCGAATCTCTTCACCAAATACTTTCACTCGAAATGAGGTAGATTCATCGAAACCCACCTTTTCTTCTCATGTTCCAGTAAACCAAACGACGACTGGCCAAAGAGAAATCTGCCGTCGTCTTCCGCTGGGATCGATGTCCAAGCCTGCTTATCATCCTATTTTATACAATATTGCGGCGAACCCAACAGAACACTAACTAGCCGACAACTTCTTTCGTATATCCGCTATTGTTTATTTCGGGCCTCTTGCTTGATTGATTCAGGTACTGGCGCTGAGCATCACATAATTCGCAGCAGCATTCTACGACTGATTACGCGGCTGCATCTTTTACGTGAAGAGGCTAGATATCGTAGCAGAGAGCAGCGGATAGAGTCATCCCAAAAAACCCAAACTTGCAGGAAATAATACAGGCACAGTTTTCAATCCATGATCGTGGTTGTTACCCTTGCACGACTATGTAATTTCCTGAATTTGTGTTTGACATTTTTTATGAGTCTCCCGTTTTTCAGCCGTCATGCCAGACCCGCCGGTTCCATCGAACTGTGCTACACGTCTGCTTAGTTATTACCTGCCGAGCCATACTACTTTGGGTACTGTCGACCTAACTTT